TGGACAAATAGAACAATTAAATTGTCACTAATATATTGTGCAGCCATTCCCCTTGGAATTTATTGGCTTGCTATTAAATCAGATGTAATCATTTATTTTTTTTTAGTTATTTAATCAATAAATAATTATAATAATGCTAATCAACATCTATCTTATTATTATTATTTTTTATTAAGAGTAAGATTGATATTACTGCACTCAATAGGAAACAATCATTAAAGGATGCAATTGTAAAAAAATAATTAAGTAATTGCAAAAAAACATAAAAATTATATCTCTGTGTCTGTCTATTTTAATAAATTCTTTGATTAAAAGTAAAATAAAGAATCACAATCCAGATGAAATACATTTGCTTGACACAAAAATTTCATCATCTTCTCTCAACATTATATTATACAAATCTATATAGCATAAGGAAACTAGAGAACAAGATGAATCAGGCCGTTTTTACGTTGTGATATTTGTTGGCAATCCAAGCATTTTAAATACTCAGTTATTTACATAATTCAAGGTCTTTGACTAGATATTACAGGTTTCTTTATCGGGCAGGACTGTTATTTGTTAGTTTATGAAATGAAGATTCTCTAATTCATCTATTTTAATATGAACCAATATAATGATTAAGTGATAAAAAAAGATTATTTTTTATGAATGCAATATTAATATAATCCATTTAACAAAATCATTTTATATTTGCTAATTTGGATCTTGATTTTATTTATAACAAAATATTAATCTGTCCTCTATATAACTTCCCTTAACATATTCTCAGTTTTATAAGCCAACTGAAATTAATTTTATGTATAATATTAACAATAATTCTCATCTTCATCCTTAAGGTTTTTTTTACTAGCATGTATTTGATATCACCAAAGTAACCTCCAGTTCATCCCTCTTGCTGACATGATCACAGATATTATTGAGAGTAATCTGAAATTATGTAAACACTCTAGATAATAGGAGACTGCATACAGGTATACTAATTTACATTTACATCAGACATAACTGTATAGAAAGAACCCTTCTAAAATGGCAATAGTTTTATTGTCTTTGGCAATTTTACATACACTCCTAATCGAATGTATATTATTATAATAATAATACACATGTAAATTCAATAATTAAAGTACTTGATAACATAAGTGAGTGTCTGACCTATCGGTTCCTAAACATAACTGACTATTATTATACTAATACTACAAATTAAAAGGTTTTAAATAATTACAAAAACATTAAATTTTATGTGCTCCTGACAAATTTATTATTTCTGTTCCAGGAAAAATGGTACTTTTTGGTGAGCATGCTGTTGTGTATGGAAAGGTGATGTGTGTATATATATTGATATCTAATTAATTGTTAAGATTTTTCATTACTGAATTTCAAGTAACGTATACTTCCTGTTCTTTGGTTATGTATAATTAATTAATTCTTTGTCAATACTTGTATATCTAGACTGCAATTGCGGGATGTTTGGATGGACTTTGAACATACGTAATTTTTGAAAAAAGATTAGATGTATATATCAAATTAAATTTACCAGATTTGGAACTTGGTCATCCTTTGCTATGGCCAATTCTGTGTTTATTACATCTATGAAAAAATATAATTAAATAATGATGATAATGATTTCTTGATTATTTTATGTGAACTATCAATTATAACTGTGTTTATCACTCAACCATAAACAATTTATCAATTTAGATTCATCAAAAGATGGTAATTGTGATGATGGGCCATTATTTAATGAAGAACTCTTTCAAGAAATCAAACCATTTGTTCATGAGGAAAATAAAAGAAATGAAGATGAACAAAAGTTGGATCGTTTACAACAAGTAGCTGCCTTGGCATTTCTTTATCTTTTTGCAAGTATTGAAGATAAATGGGCTTTATGGTTATTGATTTATTTACCAGCATCATCAGAAATAATAATTTCTTTTACAAAATAAGAATGGAATGTCAATTTGTATAAGCTCAGATATTCTTCCTGTTGGTGCTGGCTTAGGATCATCAGCAGCTTGCTCAGTCTGTTTGGCTACAGGATTATTACTTGTGCTTGGCCATATTTCAATTCCAAATAATAACAACAATCAATATAATGAAAAAACTGATACTTCTGCTGCAAAATTGATAAATCAATGGGCTTATCAAGTCAAGAAGATTATACATGGAAGAACATCAGGAATAGATAATGGTGTTACTACTTATGGTAATTAATCAACTTAACGATTTATTTTAATATTTACAATTATTTAATGTTTGTTAAATTCTATTTTTGACGGAGCTGTGTTGTATAAAATGACCAGTCAAAGAGTAAGAATTATTGTTGATGGTTAAAAAGAATTAACCCAAAAAACTTCATACGTATATATTTGTAAGTTTTTATTCCATTCAACCTATACTTACCAATACTAAAGTAACTCGTAATACACTAACTTAAGTAGCAAACGTTAGAATAGTACGCGATAAAGTTAAGATTAATTGAAAATTTCATTTGTTTATGAATTTTTTTTTTGATATTTTATAAAAAATTATGCATATATAATATATATAGTTCCCACAAATTATTGATACAATTTTAGATGCAATTGAAAATGTCAGTGTATTTTCAAAGGAGATTCTTGAAAAGTTTGATAAAATTGGTATTGAATCTCAATAATTCTTTATTTTTTTTTGGTTTTATTATAATGTATTAAGTTATGTTAATAAGCTACATCGAATTAAAATTAGATATTAGTGAATTCTATGATAAGACTGAGGTATTTGATTTTTTTGTAAAGAAATATTCAAACATATCTATCTGCCTAACAATATATATGTTATTATTAAGAATTTATTGATATAAATCATCATCTTGCCAATGGACATTGTTCACATGATAAAATATGTGAAATCACAGCAGATTATAAATTACACTCAAAACTTACTGGAACCAGAGGTAAATATTTATGTTATTTATTATAATTATAATTATTAACAGATTTATATACATTTACACGTTAGATATTAATGAGAGCAAAAAAGTTCTATGTGAGGAGTTATATATAGCAATGGTATTAATGGTATTAACTCAAAATTATTTTTTTCACAACATGGTCCGTTTCTATATATATATATCATTGTAAAATTTAGAAATTTTAATATTAATGAATTTCTAAGTTTGTGCAAAAGTCTGACAAGTAATTCGGAAACAGAACAATGCATAATGCTACATAATGGTTTCAAATTATCAAGCATGTTCACTACATAATTAATAGGACATTGAATGTATATACATATGTATATTAAAATAATACATTCATTTCATTTTTGGGTAAAAAAGCAAAGAATCCTGCCTTTTTTGTGATCATTCTATTGAGTAGAGTTTAGTGAAATGTTTTTTGTGAGCAGAAATTATTTCGTCAAAACGAAATACGACGAAAAGACAAAAAATATGACAAAATGAGAAAATTTTGAAAATGTCACAGTCAGCTTCAATTTATAAACGATAACTCGTCAGAGATAATTTGTCCTCCTTTCAAATGGGAAGCATCTACATTTTACCAAATAGCCCATTACATAGAAATTCTAAAGGTCATTTCTGCTATATACAAGTGAATAAAAAATGTTTGAGGCGAATTTGGGTTTTTTATTTACCTTTTCGAATAATAAAGAATTATTAAGTTGTTTATTGTCGAATAATCAAGTTGGTGAATACTAGACAAAGTGAATGAGTAAAAATGTTCTAGAGGTGAATTGGGGATTTTTTTTCGAACAATCAAAGAAATTTTATTATTAATATTAAAGTTGTTTATTGTCGAATAATCAAATTCAAAATTATTAATACTAGATAAAAATCAAGCGAGCAAAAAATATTCAAGAGGCAAATTGGATTGTTTATTCATTCATCCATCTCAGATTGAAGGCCGTCGATTAGAATTTTTTTTCATACAGAAGAATAAGCTTTGCAAATTTCGACTGTTAAAAAAAATAATCAAGATTTTTTCTTCCTAATTAAAAAACAAGATCCTTCGCAAAGAAGAATCTTCGTGATAATGATTGTTATTTACGAATTTCAATCGTTAAAAAAATCAACCAAGCTTTTTTTCCTTAATTAAAAAAAAAAAAAGCTTCTTTTTCTCGTTTATCCCAGATCAAAAATCAATCGGAGGGTTTCAAGTCTAGAAGAAAGGCTATTTACAATTTCGATTTTTTTAAAAAATCAATGGATTTTTATTTGTTTTCTCCCAAGGAAATTTTTCATTAATATTAACCAACGGATTTTATTTGTTTCTCCGAAATAATATTAATAATATGGTGATGACAATGACTGCGCCAGAGTCCGAAATAATAATAAATTAGCAACTTCAGTATCAATTTTATGTTTTTTCCTACCAAACAAACCGTTAGAAGTTTTCTCTTTGATTTTTTTTTACTTTTAGAAACATGACCCATTAATAAAATCGCGTTTTCAAAAATATTATCACGCGATTTTACCGACAAATTAAGTAAATTGACCAATAAAAAGAGAGTCCGACCTTTTAAATTTTACTATATAATATATAACTTTGAGACTCGATAACGAAAAAAGTAAACCAATAAAAGTTAAAGGAAATAGCGCTAGTTCTGAATTGCCTGGCTATTGTTATTGGTGTGACTCATTTATTTTCTGTACATTAGGATTTGCCAAACCAAATAGTTGATCAAATGTCAATGTGTTTCCAAACTGCTGTAAGTGTATTTTCAACAAAATTATCCTCTTTGTTCAAATCTCAACATAACTGATATTTTTGAATATAATGGCAATTTATGGATATGGAAATGATGATAAATAGCCATTTTCTGCTCCATGCCATTCACCATTGAATATATTAATAGATGTTTTGTAATATCTAGTGCCAACATTAAAAATTTTCTGATAACGTTAGAAATTGCTATATACAGCAGTGCTCCATGTCCCAATTCAAAAAAGGAAACAAAGTGGTCGTAAAGGCGGTTGCAACCAGCTGTCGCGATTATTTTATATGACGCAAAGATGGTAGCAACAATCATCAAAAGTTGCATCCAGTATCCTTACTTAGATGAAGGTAATGGAAAAATTTTACAATTGTCATCTTAAAAAAAAACAATTTCAAATATCAATTGACATGATTTATTTTGGTTGGATGAAATTCATCGAAAAAATTAGTTTTGATAAAATATGTTTAATATAAATAAAATTATAAAATTTCATTAAATTCATCGAAAAAAAGTTATTGTTTGATAAAAAATGTGGTCTAATATGAAGAAAACTAAATTCTAAACATTTTTTAATATAGTAATTTAACTCAAGAAATACCTGAAATCTGACGCTGTTCTCTATAGTTACTATGATTTTTCCCATCAGATACATAAAGAATTTTAACAAAAAAAAAATTTTTTTTACAACTTTAATACAGCGTAATGTATGTCGAAATACTATTAATATTCATCACCAACTTTGTTGAGTTTATTGAGTAAATGGATTTGTGTCTTCGAGAAAGTTAGTTTTCATAAAATTTAAATATTTTTGTTTTAATGCTTCAACATTTTCATGTAGAAAGGCTACTTTGCCAGCTACTGACATTAAAGTAGCATATTGATTGTGTAGAGATTCTGACAATGCTGAAAGCTTTTGTTCTATATACAAAAAAAAATATATATATATAAGTAATTTTGACGAGAAAAAAATAAAAAGATAAATTAATCTATTTATATTACCGCTACTACTTTCATATCGAGATTTATCATTCAAGTTCTTAAACTGTCGATCTAATTCCTATATCAATTATGTTTAAACTTAATTTCTTTATAAAAAATATTTTTATAAGATTTTAAAAATATTTATACCTCAATATTTATTTCATATTGTTGCAATTTACTATCGAATGATAGTATCAAATCATAATAGAACCTTTAAATCAATAGTTCAAACAGTTAGTAATTATTAGTGTATAATAAACAATCAAAGGTAAAAATGCGTGTGAATTTACTTTAGAAAAACTGTATCACCAAATTGTTTTACTGTGTCGTTTTGTCCACGAGATGCTGCATCATAGAATTGGCGAACAGTTTCCGCATAACTTGATTGAATATAAGTATCATTCAATAAATCCTTCATTATGGTTTGATCACTTTGTATGTCGTTATTTATTTGAGATACTTTCTGAATTGATAAATTTTTATTGGGTTAGTTAAAAATTAAAGCCTTCAAAAAAATAGGTGATAGTAGAATAATACCTGAGATAAAGCATAAATTTCATTATTAACATCTTGCAGTTGTAGTTTAATGTTGGGAAGTGTCATGGAATTGATTGATGACATTAATATTTTTTGATCTTGTATGTGTTTACTATTTGATTAAAAAATATTGTTTTTAAAGAAAATTAATTTAATAATAATTTAAACAGGAAACAAACATGTATAAAGAAATGAAAAATACTCTATTTTTATAAGTTCATTTTTTATATTTTCTGGTAGATCAGAAAACCGAGTTTTCTTTGTTATACTGTTAATATTGAATTGTCCTCTATATAAACATAGATTTGTAGGAACAAAATATTATTATTAAAAACAATATAAATAAAATTTGAAAATGAAATCTTATGATCTTATAAGTTTTAATAGTTTACGTTGAAATTCCTAATGTGCTGGTGTTAGTGGCACTAGTTCCTGTTCCTTGAAAAATGTTTCTACTTAAATAGTTCATACTTGGTGCTGTAGTGGTTCCACCACTTCCACCAATACCTGAAAACAACTGAGCAGAGGTAGTGGCAGTTGATGTTGATGGCCAGCCAAAAGAACTTTTATTAGCTGCTGTTGTACCAATTGAGCTTAATGACGGCATTAATAAACTAGGTGCTGTTGTGGTTGTAGTCCCAGTTCCACTACCTGTAGGATTTCCAAAAGTAAAGACATTTCCAGTAGTATTGCCTGGTTTTAAACCACTACTTGATATGTTGGTACTCGTACCAGGGGCCTGAAAAGTACCCGTTATTAAGGGATTATTGGCAATTCCACCAAAAGCAGTGGTGGTAGCTGGTTTACTTCCAAAAGAAAACCCTTGATTTGTTCCTCCCGCACTAGTTGTAGAAGTAGTGTTCCCAAATGCTGACAAACCAGTACCACCAGTATTTGTTTGAGAATTTGATGATGCATTTCCAAAAGTTGAAAAATTAAAAGGCCTATTTGAAAAAAAACAGGGGGGGGGAATAAGCTTTTCTATTTATATATATGTATTTTATTTTTAACTTACGTTTGAGACATCAAGAGGTTTGTGTTGATCTATTTTTATTTATTTTTTTGATCGACAAAAAAAAATGCATTTATTATTATACATTTCTTAAAAGTAAAATTGTAGATTTTACAAGCTTTCCTTTAGGATAATAAATTAATACTTTATTGATGGGACCAATTATGATGACTGCTGAATTTGACACAGGTCAATTAACACCGTCGCCACCACCACAATCAAATGGACACAGCGATCCTAGATCACAACTTGAAACAACACTTGAATCTTTAATTAATAGATTATGGGACATAACAGTAAAACTCAATGAATATGACAATCACCAGAATAAACAGTCATTAACGAACTCATTGTAGGTTTTTTTAGTTTGACAAAAAAAATTTTACTTATTTATGATTTTTTTTAATCTTTATTATTCTTGTTATTATACAAGATAGAGTGGATCTTGCAACATTATACGAAAAGGTAAATACACTTCAAGAAAAAATCAAACAAATAGATGTACCTATAGATGTAATAGAGTAAGCTTTAAGATTATTATAAATTATTGCTTATGATAAATGTTAAAATCTTATAATAATGATGATGATGATAATGATTGATGATAATTTATTTTTAAAATTACTAGTTCTATTGATGAAGGTAAAAATCCAGATATTTATATGAGAGATTACGTTGAAGAAGTTATGGTTGAGCACATGTCCGTGATAAATAAAAATAATGCTGTGATGGTAAATTATTAATTAATTAGTAATTATCAAGTAAAAATTATTTTATTAATCATAGTGATAATTTTTAATTAATGATTTAGGATTTTAAGGATTCGTTTTTAAACCAATTAGGAGAAATATTTCCAGAAGAAACTAATATTTACAAAAATAAAAAATCTTGAATAATGACAATAATAGTTTTTTTAGAACATTAGAATTAATATAAATATATAGATTTTAGTTAGAATTATATAATAATTATTAAAGAAAAATCTTGGTTTTCTTATATATATAAAATAACAACCAATAATTTTTTCTTTGCTTTTTTATTGATAAAATGCCCTAATTATTTATAATTTTAATTCTATTCATAATTTGTTTTTTATTTTAATTTTTATATTTTTATATTATTATAATTATTATTTATTTATATACTTTTAATAATAATAAAATTTGTTTCATCCAATTATTCTGGTTCTAAGTTTGCAGATGACGATGATGATGGGTTTAATAAACAATAAAATCACAACTATTTTTTCACTATCTGATATTACTTAAAGATCGAATTATCTATACTCCAATAATGAATAAGATATAAGATTTAATTTGTATTAAAACTACATACTTTTGGATCGACATAATCTAAACCACCATCTGATGTTGAACGATTTCTCATATATTCTCTAACGGGTGAATATTTTTTCTAGTACATATTAGCAGGATAGGCAATTTTTAAGTTTCATCACTAGTTTAGGATCAAATAAATAATTTACCCAAGATATTATATTTGGGTAATTTGAAAAATGATCGGCAAAATTTCCTCATATAGATATATATAAATATATATAAAAAAAAAAATTTTTTTTCTGAAAAAAAAATAATAAACAAGACCCGCTCTCTCAAGGTAAAGTGTATATTTCTTTTTAAGTAATAATTAATGGTCACTATGATGCATAAATGAAATTTCTTCACTTTCTGAAAATTTCACACATTTTAAACATGATGTATTTTAGGACACCTCTGAGTGACTGTTAATATTAATATAGATTTTTTTTTCTGCTACTAAAGAAAAATTTTTTTTTTCATCAAGTTTATTTATTTATATATTTTTTATATTTTTTTATAATTTATAGATGACGCCAATTGTATTTTTCAATAATTCTAAATTTCTTTAACGAAAAGAGATCAACCATATCCATTCTCTATTGATTATTAATAACTTATATATGAATTAATTATTGATTACAAGGAATTAATTGATTTTCTAATATAATAGTTACAATTTTATAAAGACTTTTAATATTCAATCCATAAAAAGAAAATAAAATAAACGGATGGATGGATAAATATGAATAATAATCCTCCAGACTGATAATTACATAAAAGCGTGATGTTTCTTTAAAAATTATATTTGAATTTTGTTATTTGATCAATTTAATCATTATCGGAATCTTATCATCATTATTACAAGTCTTTGAATATTAAGTTTGACTTCTTGTAATGATTACAGATTTCTTCATTTAACCCCCCCCCCGTTTTTTGAATTTGTTTAAAACAATATTCCATAAAATCATTCCCGAAATTGGTTTGCGACAGACGTGACGCTTTTAATATATCTTTAAATTTCAAATGTGAAAATGATTCTACATCATTTTTTGGGGGTATGAATTTCGAAGAGAACATCTCTATATCTTTTAATTCTCTGCAATCATCCATCAATCAATATATTTACAACAAATTATTGTTGCTGCGATAGTAGATCATTTCCGATCATGTGATAAATACATTATTATCATCATCAAAAATTTTTTTAATTATTAATAAATAAATATGAAGGAAGAAGAGGAAGCTTTAGTTTTAGATTCTGAAGGGAAACCACTTTCCAAAAAAGCATTAAAGAAATTGGAAAAAGAAAAGGAAAAAGAAAAAAAGAAAATTGAACGTGAAGCAAGAGAAGCTGCTGAAAAAGCCGCACGTGAAAAAGCGGAGGTAAACTTTTTTCATTTCTTTTTTATTGATGGGAAATGAAAAGAAACAAAGATGTCTATTTTTTTCTTGGTTGATTACTTTTAATGATAATTGATTCGTTTTTTGTTTTTTAGGGTTATGGCTCAGAAAATTATGGTAAAAAACCAATGAATCAATCACAAGAGAGGACCGGTATGTATAAATTGCGTAATCCTTACACTAGCTATTTATTTTTGATAGCTTGTATAAATATACATTTATATTCTTAGGTGTTAAAAGAACTTTGATATCTGATATTAATGCTAGTCGTACTGGTGAAACAGTAAACATTCGAGCTAGAGTACAAACCTCAAGACCAACCAGTAAGAATTAACTAATTGATCAACTTGATTGACTAATTAGCTAAATGGTTAAATGGTTTGTGTGTATTGCTAGGTTCAAAACTTGCATTCTTTGTTTTTAGACAACAAAATGCTACAATTCAAGGTGTTTTAACTGTCGATGAAAAAGATGTGAGCAAAGGATTCGTTAAGTTTGCTTCCAAGTAAAAAAACCAATAATAATAATAATAATAATAATTTATATGATTTCATAATTAGTATTTTATATTATTATATATTCATCTATTACTCTTACTATTATTATTTTCTATTATTGTTTTTTTATATATAATAGTATTCCTGATGAATCCATAGTCGTTATTGAAGGTATTGTTAGTAAGCCAAGTGAAGAAATTAAAAGTACTACTGTATCTGATGCAGAATTACATATCAAGAAAGTAAATACCATTCATCATCATCAATTTGTTATTTATATATAATTTTATTTTTTAATTACAACTATACTATTATTATTATTATTAGCTTTATGTTATCAGTGAAACTGCTGGTCGACTTCCATTTTCTTTGGAAGATGCATCTAGAACTGAAGAAGAATTTAAAAAGGTACATATATGAGTATGAGATATGTGATTAATATAGATATATATTTATTTATTTACATATTTATTTAGGATGATGCTCAATATAGTCGTGTTGCATTAGATACACGATTAAATCATCGTATAGTTGACCTTCGTGTAAGTTTATTGACTTGATTAATATTTCAAATTTGTGGACCAATCAGATTAGAAAATTAACCATTTTAATACTTGATAATAATAATTCAATTTAAAAATGAAAGACAATAACAAATAATGCAATTTTCCGAATTCAATCTGGAGTTTGTCAATTATTTCGTGATTTTCTTTTATCAAAGAATTTTATCGAGATTCATACACCAAAAATAATTAGTGCGGCTAGTGAAGGTGGTGCAAATTTATTCACAGTGAAATATTTCAAAGGTATTATTTATTCTTACATAAATACATACGTAAAGTGTTTGACGAAAATTAAATTAAAATTTCTTTTTATTAAAATGAAAAAAAATTAGGTGAAGCATACCTTGCACAATCACCACAATTATATAAGCAAATGTGTATATGTTCAGATTTTGAGAGGGTATTCGAGATAGCACCTGGTAATTCACCTCACATTTATAAATATATATATACAAATTATTCCTTCAACAACAATCAATAATAATAACAATTATAATATTCATTCTATCTACAAAATTATAGTTTTCCGAGCAGAGAATGCAAACACTCATCGACATATGACAGAATTTGTTGGACTTGATTTAGAGATGGCTTTTGAAGAACATTATCATGAAGTACTTGATATCCTAGATGAATTATTTGTCTATATTTTTGACGGATTGAAAACACGATATAAATCGGAAATCGAAGCCATTAAAAAACAGTTTCCTTCGACCGATTTTGAATATAATTCACAGAAAAGCTTAAGATTGGAATATAAAGATATTGTTAGTTTGTTAAGAGAAAATGGGATTGAAATAGGTGATTATGAAGATTTGAGGTGAGTTAATTTATATTTGGTTGGGTTATTTTGATTATTTTTTGATTTAATAATGGTTGTTATATATTTTTCTCAAAAAATACTTTTTTTAAATTAACTAGTACTGAAAAAGAAAAACTTCTTGGTAAATTGATTAAAGAAAAGTACAAAACAGATTTTTACATAGTTGACAAATTTCCATTGGAAGTTCGTCCATTTTACACAATGCCAGATCCTAACAACAAGGTAATCATAATAAATCAATAAAATAATATTTTGTTGTTTAAAAATAATTTATAATTAAATTTCATTTATTCAATATATTTATTATATTTATTTGTAGCTCTATTCAAATTCATACGATTTTTTTATGCGTGGACAAGAAATCCTTTCAGGATCACAACGTATTCACGATCATATATTTTTGGAGGAGCGTGCTAAAGAACATGGCGTTAATCTTGCTACAATACAATCATACATTGATTCGTTTAAAAGGGCAGCTCCGCCTCATGCAGGTGGTGGTATAGGTATGTTGTCAATAATAATTGATTTTTTTGTTTATAATAACAAATCTTTTAAAAACTTACATCTTATAAAATGTATAGGATTAGAACGTGTCGTTATGTTATATTTGAATTTAGATGATATAAGAAGAAGTTCATTGTTCCCTCGTGATCCAAAACGTCTTGAACCTTAAAAAAACCAATAATGCAATACATGTAATTGGAGGTTCTTTTTGAAACTTTTCTCTTTCAATTTTATTTATTAAATAAAGAGATATACACAGTATGTTGAGAAAAGAATTATTTTAATGCACGATAATAAAATACGTTTGTTTACTCATTTAATATTGATTGTACATAAAATCGCTCTTTGTTGTATTATTTTTTGTCTCTGAAACATTTAACACTGTAGACCATAGTGGATGTGGCCAACAAGAATGTCTTGTTCTATTGGACAAATTGTAAAAATAATGCTGTTTCAACTCGCCAGCTTGCGGTCAGAGTTCAAGAGTTATCACATGTTTCTATCTGGCAGCACATGGAAAAAAGTTTTGTTCCATTGCCACTCCAATGTTAAAAGTAAGTGCATAGCTTTGACGGATATATTGAGGCTAGAACATAAATTATTGCTATTGGAGTTGCGCTGGTTGCATTATTAATTCACACAAGACTATCAAGATAACAACATTTTTGAGAAGAAAGAGGGCACAGACTCATTTGAATGATAATTGGAGTCGTACCATATTTATTTACGCATTTGATCTATTTAGAAACAAAATCAAAGATGACAAAGATGGTGAAAGACCAATTTGTAGATTACCGAAATCTCGTCAGAAAGTGATGGCCTGGGCGGTATTTCGTTAAAAGGAAAAACACCTTGTTTTTTTTTCACTGAAACTATGGATGGATTATATCATGTCAGCGTAGCTTTTGCTCACTGCGCAAAGGTTGTATGTATGGTGGAAACTGGCGCCTGCAAAAGGATAATAACCAAAGCATACTTTGCGTGTTGCAAGAATCTTTTTGCACAAGAAAATATTAATGTAATTGAATGGTCATCAAACGGTCCTGACCTCAATCCAGTAGAGAATATGTGGCGTATAATTTAATGACAATGTTGAAGAAAAACATGCCCAATATTGAGTTGATTGATGCAAGCAGTATATGTGTGAAGAGTGGGACAAATGACGATCAATAATTTTGGAAGTATGAAAATTAATTTTCGGTATTAAAAATTCACTATTTAATAAAGTTTTTAAATGAATCTAATTATTTTAAGTAATTAAGTTTTTTATCGGGCTATTTTTTTTCTTAACATACTGTATACATTATAAATAATTAAATTTGAAAATATATGAGTTGGTTGGTTTGTTGTTTATTATGCGATAAAAAGAAAGGTTTCCATTTCTAAAAATCTAAATTAAAATTTAATTTATTAATAATAATTATTTAATAAAAAATAAAAATGGAAAGGCTGATGTGTGTATACATATATATACATAGATACATAGATAGTTAAACAGATTGTAAGGATGGAAGAAAAAACTTATTTGTTAAAATAAAGTGTAAAATATATAATGGTTTAGAAAAGTCTATCTGTATATTATCATCAAATTATTTTGTTCTTAAAATTAAATATATATGTGTATATATATATATTCATCACCTTTTCATCATCATCATTATTGTCATTATTTTATTTGTTTATTTTAATTAAAAACTAGATCCTTCTGCTGGTTGTGGCAATTTTTTATTGTGTGGATTGGCCATTTCACTTATTTTTTATTATCATCATCATCATCATTATCATCATCATTATTGTTATTATTATTATTGAAAAAATATTTTTTCGAAAAAAAAGGATTACAATTAATATAATTTTATATACATTACTATATATCATTATATATTTATGTTAATAAATAAAGATATTTACCGACGTAATTCTGTTAACACAGTTTCCAAAGTATTGGTTCTCTTCCAATTAGCCAAACAATTTAATTTAGATGATTCAACCTAGACATTAATGGAAGGATTAGTTTTAATTGACAATAAAATATTAATCAAGTAATTAAGTTGCAAAAAATATCTATTAATTTGTATCACCTTTCCTGTCTGTTGATTAACACAAGGCAAATTAATCCGAGAAATAAAGTAAACAGTTGGTATAGAATCTGGGTAATTATCATCACAATGAAGTTTCAAACTATAAATACGATTTTCATGAATGGTCTAATTCATTATTATTAAAAAATTAGATTAGTTAATTAATAAAGATGATAGTGATGATAATAATGACAATTAATAAAATTATAATAATTAATGAATAATGGTAATGGCAATTCCAACACCCAAAATCTATTGAACATAAAACTTGTGAAACAATTACAACTATAATTGCCAATGCTACTTACATGGCCAGGACCTATAATTGTACCATTCCAATCACTCATATATATATCATCACTATTTGAAAGCCCATAACTACATGTACCATCGCCAATACCTTTTTCTCCTTTTTCCAACTCTTCAAGTAATCTAAAATTACGTGGTACTTATTCAAAGGAGGGGAGGAAAAGAGATTAATTAGTATATAAGTACATGGGGTATTTTTTTATGGATTTTGACGAAGAAAAATGAATTTAAGAAGTGTATTTTATTTGTAAATTTTCTTGTATATATTTTTCATAATCCTTGATTAATAATTAATATAATAGTAGTAAACCTGGATTGATCAATAATTTAATTTGAATAATTATGAAAATTTTTATACCTTTAGCCGCCATTTCTTCAGTATTACACAATAATATAACAAATTTAAAATGATGCTTCTTTAAAAAGATTAGAATTTTATATTTATTCTGATTATTATGAAAAAAAGAATAAATAAAAATGGTATACTTTTTTTTTATATATGCAAGTTTTTTAACATGTGATTTATTTTAAAAATCAAAGTTGCACGAACGAAAATATTGTCAGAAAGTAATTAATATTAATCAATTTTTTGTTCATACTTACACCATAAATTTCTAAATAAGTAAAGATTTTAATTTACTAATTCAAATATAGATTCTTCCGATTAATTATTATTAATTTTTTTAAATTTTTGATAATGACAAATGACGATAAAAAAACATGGAAATTTTATTTCCTCTTTAATTTTGATTCTTTCCTTTATTTTTAATTCTTTTTTATATTTTTACATATTTTTATTTAATATAACTAATAACAATGAAGTTAATAATAAATAATAATAATAACTTTTTAATAGTATTAATATTAATATACTCTTCGCTAAATAGATTGATATGGAGTGTTTATGCAAGCCGTAAGTAAATAAAATAGGATTTAATTTAATCGCACGTAAAATTTTCTGTTTAATAATAATATTAATTGATTCACAGAGTGTCAATATTATGATAAAGAAGATGGTGTATGTTTCGTAAGTATAAATTATTATTAAAAAATCATCATTAATCATAATATACAATATAATAATATATACATGTATACATATAGAATTACTTGGATGAGAAAAGTTTGGTTTATATTCCAGACCAATTAACATTAGATGAAATCGAAGACTCGCTATTCGACATCAAGGTAGCTCAAGGTCAAGCATATTTAGCTTCATTAATAAATAATACTGCAATTCCAACATGCGTTGAGGCATTTACAAGATTGGTTTGTTCGATTAAATTTCCAAAATGTAATGATACAGCAAGCACAACACAGCAAAGTAATTAATTAATATCTTTTTTTTTTCAACATTTTCGAGTGAGAAGTTCTTTAAAAAATCTACCCTTTTTTTCTTTTTTCAACATTTTCGAGCGGGACAGTCATTAAAAGATTTACTTTTATTTTTAATATATATATATATATAGTTCCACCAAATTCTTTATCGAATATTGTAATTGAGCCTTGTAAATCACTCTGTGATAATGTTATAAATTTATGCGGTGTTATACCGCCATCTAATTACAATCAGGACAACCCTTTACATCATATCCTATCATCACCTTTATACCCGAAAGATTGTTCTGGAATCATAAGCAACGAACCACCTTTGAATGTTGTTTATCCAACAGGTACAACTTCCTCCGCATCATCATCATCATGTAACAATCAAGCACCACTACTTGGCAATAATCAATTAATATTAAAACCGAGATGTTTTCCACCGTCAATAATCGATGAATATTATCTTGCAACCAATATCCCAACACATGAAAAATTCTGTGTAGGTGGATGTTGTGTTAAATGTCCTCAAACATATTCGGTATATCCGGATGGCTGGCTAGAAAAAGGATTCATGGTGACGCAAAGTTTCCGAGTAGTATCAGCTGTATTGGCACTTATTATGTCGATTTCGTATATTTTATTACCTGGAAAAAGAACACATCCTGGTTTATTGATTTTGTTCACTTCAATTGCAATATTTATATTTTCTTCTTTGGTATTTTTTTCAATTGGTGATCCTAAAAAGATTCAATGTGTAAATGATATCGATCCAAGTACTCAAAGCAATAATATTTTATGTGCCATTCAAGGTAATTAATTAACCACACGTTAATATAATACAAGTTTAAAATTATTTATTAATCAATTTACCACACATTTTAACACAATATATAGGTGCATTAATAATATTTGCATCGTTTGCAACAACAATGTGGGTCGGAATAATTATAGTAAATCTTCATATTCACACCGTATGGAGTTCAAATTGTGTTGGGAAAAGATATATTATTTTACATTTACTTGGCTGGGGCATTCCGGCATTTTTCACCGTGATAGCATTGGCAACCTCGTCCGTCAATTATGAATTTGCAACTCTTTGTTTCATTAAAGAGGAAAATGCTAGTAGAGCATTTTTTTATCCATTGGCTGTCATAGTTATCCCGATATTTTTTATACATATGGCCACATTCTTCCATATTGCAAGGATGTCTCAACGACCAACTATTTCAAGATCTGAAGACAATAGTAATAATGATAATAGTGGCGGAAACGATACTAACAGTAACAAAAAAAATTCCATCCATCTTAAAAGAAGTAATATTGTACTTACGAGAGCAGATCGTCGAGATGTTTTACAAGCGGTTAAAATACAATGGCGTGCATTACTGCTATCGATAATACTTGTTTTGACCGTAATATTCTATTGGATATTTTATTTTATAGAGTTAAATCGTATAGCATCAGGGCCTGATAACAGTGATTTCAAGGATAAGTGGATACAATGTATTCAATCAGGTAATGGACAGGACAACTGTTATTATGAAGTATCATTGGATAGAATGCCACCATATGGTTTATTGATGTTGGTAGAGCTTTTGCCTAGTTTAATCGGTATTTGGTTATTTGTTATATTTGCAAATGGACCTTTATGGATTGAGTGGAAAATTTATTTAAAAGAGAAACTTGGAAATAAACGGAAAACTGAAGTCCCTGGCCTATTCTTTGACATCTAAAAAAACAAAAAAAGCTTGTAATGATATAACATTTATTTTGTTGTCAGATGAATGGTGCGCTTATGTATTGCTGTACCTGAGCATTAGTCAAATAATTAATATAAATTTAGATTTTTTTCCTGTATTCATTATATTCATTTTATAATTAATCACTTAACAATAATATTATTAAAAAGTTCTTTATTTATTTTACAATGCAACCTCTAAAAAAAAAAAAAATATGGTACAGTGCGGGTCACTCTAACACATCAAATTCTGTGCAAAAATTTTTTTATCACTCATTACAAAAATGACATTTACGATTTATATCACGTGACTTTCCAAAAATGCATTTATATTAATTCATCAATTTCTTCTACAACATTATCTGGGATCTTTCTACGAGACTTATATTTTTTTACAATATATTCGGCCTGTAACATTGTTAACCTTTCCTGTAACAGTCCATAAATTTTGCAACCTTTCTTGCATATTTTCTAATTTGTTTCAATGGTATATATAAATCAAAGGCTCTGGGAATATTCTCTTGAAGACCTTTCCATGTGTAATTACAATGTTGCCTAACATACTGTTTAGCAGCCCCCCAATATATTTCAATGTAGTTAAGCTCACAATGAAATTTTGGATAGAAGATGATCTTATGACCCCTTGCTTCAATTAATTCTTGAAGTAAGGGTTTTTTGCTTTTAAAATCATCTTGGGTTGCTAAGATATGTCTAGCACAACAAGTCAAAAGTTCTTCAAAAGAAACTTATAAGAAAATAATAACAAAAGGTGATTATTTTTATATTTTGATAATTGTAATATAATTATATTATGCATAGTAAGCTAACCATTTGTTGAACTTTACCATCAAAAATAGTATCCCTCATAGTTGGTTGTCCCCCTGCAGGGCTTAGATTCATTGTAAATGCATTCAATGCATCATCTGCCACTTTAGTATGACTTGATAAATGATCAAATGCAAATACTGCAATCCTATTAGGATGTGTTGGTTCAAAAATTGGTATGGCCTTTATCTTGATATTGATCTTTTTTTTTCTTACTTGATCTATATTAGCTGTTCAAGATTCCACCAGCCATCTGCATTCTTTCCAGGACATATGATGACTTAAGCATCATGAGGAAAGTTCTCTTCAACCTCTAATTTTTGTTCATCTGATAGTTTAAGTCTACTAATTGTTTCAGTTAAAAAGTCACTTACTTGCATTGTTTTCCCTTGACCTTTCTTTCTCAGTGGTTGTGCATTTCTTGGTCTCCAGCCTGATTTTTCTTCAACATTAGATTGGAATGTTGTTTCATCCTGTGTTACAAATACATGTGTCTTTTCATATTCTTCCAACTCAGGGTTAATTTGAATTTCCAAATCATAACCAGTAAATTTAGGCATCAATTTCTGGTAACTATTGTGTCATTTTGATAAATCTAATTAATTAATTGTATATATAAAACAAGAATAAAATTAAAATTACCTTCAATGACTTCTAAAAATTTCTTTCTGTATTCAACAACATCTTCATGTTCATGTCCATCAATATAAACTCCCTTTGCAAATTTAAAATAAACAAATCCCATCTTTTTGAACCATCTTTTTGCTGTTAACTTTATATGGGGTATGCTGTAACAAAACCAAACAAAGTGAACATTGATATTACCAAGGATTTCAGGGATCAAAAATTTAGTTATCATCAATATGATTTTATAATGTCACATTTGTTATCTTTGTTTTTTCTTAAATGATATATAGAACTACCCCCATATAAAAAGAAATAATATGAAACTAATTTACATTAGGTCTACCATGGAACCCAAGAATTATAGCACCATTAGAAGTATTTTAAAAAAAGGAGCAAGGTGAAAAAATTGCTCCTTACATTTTCAAAATAAATGATACTCACACTTGAAGCTTATCTAAGAAAAGAAAAGATTACCTATGAAATTTACCAAGAAGAAAGAAAAATAATAAACATTAAGAAAAGAAAGCATCATGATGATGCATTATTACCTAATAAAAAGCAAAAATCTTTAAAAGGAAAATAAATGCCATTTTCTTTGATAATTGGAATGAATTTCAATTTATACAGAGGGAAATTTCCTCAACTACTTTTTTGTTTTCAATCAAAGTCATTTTTTAACTTCAATCTGAGCAACTATTTGACCATTTTGTTGTTGTAATTGTGCTAATTGAACTTTTAACTTGTTGGTTTCTTTTATTAATTCTTGGTTAGTTAAGCCTTTTAGTTTTTCATTTTCTGCTTCTAATTGCTTAATTCTATCCAACAACCCCTGTTTTTGTCTCTTACCTCACTCCTCAGATTTTTCTTGAAATTTGGCTACTTCTTCCCTTTCAATTTCTAGTGCTTCTTCAGTCTTATTTAATTGTTCTTGTAGGGAGTTTATCTGACTTTCATAAAAAGAGCTTGACTTATTTCTTTATTAGGCAAGAGAGGAAGTTCCTTTTCTTCCATATCTTCTTCATATTTGACACAAAAACAAATATATTTACTGCTAATAACATCAAGGTAATGTCTGGTTTGTAATCTACCACGCCTATTACACTTTAACAATTCATCATTTTCAAATTTTTCCTTACAGTTTTCACAAACTACATCAGCAACATATTTGCCATTTGTTCTAATACGAGCCACACTATTTGATTAACAGACTTATTATCCTCCTCCATAAAGATTGGAGCAAAAATCACAAGTTTTTCGACTTGTTCTTTCTAAATCTAAAAGTGTGTAAGTTAGTTCTCTCATTAGTTATCTGTTTACCTCTATTCTAGCAACCAACTCTTGGATTTGGCATTTTTTTGTTTTGCACCAATTGATGGATTTCAGTTTTTATTTTTGTTTTAATTGCTTAAATTTACTTTGTTTTTTAGGTAAAGCAGGCAAATCCTTTTCAAATAAATGTAATTAATTGATTTTGCAACTTTTCATTTTCTTTTCTTGAACTAGTTCTCATTCTAATTTACTAATTTTTGCATTATTATTTTACTAGAAATTTCTAATTTTTGGTTTTTTTCTTTTATATCTTCTTGATTTTTACTTCATTTTTCACCAACTATTAAGATGTTCTTAATTTCTTCTCGTTCTATTTGTACCTCATCTTCTAATTTCCCACCTTTGCTTCCAATTCCTTAATTCATTCAATCTTGCTTTTGATAATATCCTTGATAATGATATATTTAGCAGGTCTATCTCCAAAGTTTTCTCCACTTCTTATTTTACCAATGATAGCATTATTTTCACTTTGATGCTCCCAGTGCTTTTCATTTTCAGATTTGTAGTAATTGTTAACAATTTCTTCAATGATTTGTTCTTGGTTTTCATTATGTTCTATAATATATTTCCTATACAAACTATCTTGAAAACAAACATTCATAAACTGTTGTCTTAATGGTTTGCTAATCAATTCCCTTAAATCTTGTTCAATGTTTTCCCTCATGTCTACCAATATTTGGTGAATTCTTTCTGTTGCTTCTTGCTTAAATTCAACTTCCTCTTCTTCACTTACTTCTTGGGAGTTTTTTAATTCAGTAATTTCTTGTTCTTTATTGGATAATTGCTTTTTCAATGTTTCATATTCATATTTTTATATTTATATTTTAGCTGATGCGAATATCTATTTTAGATTATTAATTATTATTTGTAATGCTCAGTTGACCCAAATATTTATTTAGTATTAATAAGCATATTTTATTAGACAAAAAGAGTAAAAGTCATGTTATTTGTAATACCCCAAGAGGTATAAAAAGACTTGGTTTTAGACCAAGTCAGAACCATCATGTTCATATAACAATCTTTTAATTATTGATCTAATAATTAATACTTCCTAACACATTTGTAATAATATTATTATTATCGCTAATAAAACACATAACATATTTTACCCTCAAAATATTTATCTCTAATTAACTAATAAACTACAAAGGGAAACCTTTGCTATACCAAAAATCTATCAACTCCTTCTATGAAGTGGATTGGTTTACATTGCAAAGATAAAACCAAGTAAGGATTTTGATCAATTTCAAAATATGTTTATATTATCATTGTTACTACTGTTAATAACTAATTTCACAAATAGTTTTAATCTTTCAAAAAATTCAGCAAACAAATTAAATTACAATGATAAAAAAAAAATCAAAAGTTTGCTGAAAAAAGATTTACCAGGTCCCTGGAGGTAAAAAAAATTTTTTTTTAATTAAAATTATCACCATCATCAATTACTATTAGAAATATTGACCAATTTTATTAATTGTAAATAGGGACGAAATTATAAAGATTTTAAATTCCAATGTTAAGTTGGAAATATACATGAAGTCGAAACTATTTCGACCATTTGCAGATCTGGTCTAAATAGGGTCGAAATAAGGTCGAAACTGCTTCATGTATAGTTGGAAATCGAATCTTTATTTCAAAATTGATGATCATGGGTCATGGTTATCTAAGGGCCTTCTCATTCACACTCATTTATGAATGATCATGAGCGATTATTACCAATTTTGGCTATTTCAGCCACAGTGTGAACACTCATTTGTTGAGCTTTCCAATCTTAACTCTGACGATGAGCTGAAGCTTTTGATTGGTTAAATTTATCACCAAAAAAATTATTTAACTTTAACATTTTAAAAATGAAAAATGACAATGACATGATGTTATTTTTATGCACATTTTTAAACATTATAACTGTTTATAATGAATTTAATTCAAATTTAACAGAAGAAATTAATGATTTAAACGAAGTTCCAAATTTTTCATTAATATTACATTTACTCTATAATAATAGAATGTCTCCTTTTATGCGACCAAAAACACTTGGATATTGGAATGATGTTTTCCCTTTACTTTCAGATAATTACGGAAATAATAGTTTTAAGTCACACTTTAGAATTACTAGATTTTATTACGATGACTCGGCAAATGAGCACCTGGAAATGATGATCACTCGCCCTCCAAATTTGGATTTATGATCATTCATAAATGAGTGTGAATGAGAAGGCCCATAGTCCAACATTAAAGTTATTATCTGATGTTTTTCCTCAAATGTTGAGTGCGCTTCCAAAAATATGTTTTTGTGTTCCAAAACTAACTGAAGAAGAAGCAAAGTTTATTGACAAACTCTTGAAGGTAATCAGTAATCTTTTGTTTTAAAATAATAAATCGTGTATATTAAAATGTTTTTTATTTGTAGGCAGAAGATGTTGATGACATACCAGCAGTGACAGGAGAGGAAAAAACTTTTAGAAAGCTTTTCAGTTGCATGTAAGTGTAGATATATAGTTTGTTATTTAACAGATAAATGAGATCTAATGGCCATGTATCTCCTCTAGCCTTGATTCCATAACAATGCCTAGAAAAAACGATTTGCCTGAAGTTGAACACACGTTTCGAAATGTTGTCCCTCTGCTTGATGCAACAATTGGAAAAGATGGTTATTTTTGGGTGAAGTAGTAAGTTACTTGTACAAATATAAATTACCTTGTTTTCATACAAAATGTGATCATTGATATTTTTTATTTAGTGGTGAACAATCACTGGCAGCAACAGCTACACGACGAAATAAAGGGAGAGACCCAAATGACCATGCACGAATTGGATTCAAGATTGATGTGATGTTTGAATACCAGAACCTTAGCTGGACTCCAGTTATCAGCTGTTTAGAAGTTTCTGGTGGTCTCTCACAGTGCTCACGATCTAAAGAGTGGGATGATACCCTTAAACTTGGATTAGAACTCCGGGACTTATGGGCGATTGCTGGAGATCATTTGATGGGTGTAGATGTAAGTAAATTGGTATGGTGGGGTCTTACAGTGGTTGGTAAGTATTATAATTTTAAAATACAAAAAATTTTATGATATACTGTAATTTATAAGTATATGAATACTAAATCGAAATGGAAACTAGGCCGCAAGATCAGAGTGTATGCTTTTGCTGCTTCTGGTGGCTTATTTCATTTGGTCCTAATGTATGAGGCTTTTCTCCCATCTTCTCATGAAGACCTTTATAATTTGAAACTTGCATACCTTGTATTGAAGGAATACAAAAAGAAGTTGGATGAAACGAAAAATATGATAGATGAACTTAGTCAGAAAAATGTGCAACTAATTACCAGAGAGAGGAATTTAGATAAATCAATGGGAAGTAAGTTGGTAAAGAAACCAAAAATTGCAAACTCGCCTGATCAGAAAGTACGAAATAAGCAAAAATGGTTGAAATTTATGTTGTGAACATTACTTCCTTATCAAAAAATAATTGTATAATTAATAAAGTTTCGCTCTTGGATATGTAAAATGTGTGTCGGAAAATAAAAATTTATATTGTGTGTATGTTATATTTAATAATTAATTATTATTCCACTAAAGTGTCCTTTAGAGAATGTAAGTAACATTTTTATTTATAAGAGTTTATTAATAGTTAATAATGGAATTTTATTACATGCAAAAAAAAAATTTTTTTGAGTTGTAAATTTTGTTTTATTAAATAAATTTGTTTGATTTTTTCATACATCGTTCATGTT